AAAATGGCAACCTTACTATCAGGCTCTCTTTTACACATTTCCCTAATGATTTTGGTGATTTTGGTCCCAACTAGTACGCACCCCGTGCGATGCACGAGACAAAGATATTACATAAGTTATTTTCACAGTCTTGTCCGTTTAAGTCTAAAAAGTAATAGGGTTATTCTTTCTTTTCTACCTCTTTTAATCAAAGTTAAGTCTAAAAAACAATAGGGTTATAAGCTTTTTCCCAAATCTTTTTACCAGCGTTGTTTTTTTAGCCAGGACATTAAATATGAGCATGTTAGTGCTAGTTTTGTAACATAATTAATATATTATCTCACTAAAATATTTATATTAATAAAAATTTAATTTTAGCATGTAAATTTATCCCTTGATATAAGAGAAAAGTAACAGTTTTACTTATTCTTGTTCACTATATAATATTTAATTATTATTTTATTATATAATAAAAATAAATACTGTCAAACAGTGTAGTAGAATTGTTATAAAATTATATATTTTTTTTTATTTTTTTTACATTATGAATTTAATATCTTTTTATGCTTTGGTAATATAACTATAATATATATTCGTAATGGTATAATTATATGGGATACGGATTTACATAATACTATGAACTTATTCCTTAATGTTAAGATATTGAATTAGGTAATATATGATTCACTAACTTGTAATCTATCTCTTTTTATATTGAAAGATATTGAAAATAATCATGTGATTGAAAAGAGATAACATTATCTATAAATTCCTTCACTTAAGGAATAATTTTTAAATTGGTCAAAGTGTTGAATGCACCCCGATTTTCTTGTAACTAAATGAGAAGAGATTTTGAATTTTAAATTTTTACTTCAAAACCACACATAAATTTGGATGCAGATTTAATAAAAATGAATTCAACAAAACCCATAATTTTAGGGGCATTTAATGCTACCCTATTTTATTATTTAAAAAATCTAAAAACTTTCTAAATATGGTGTGCAATTAATTATGAGTTGACTTTTCTTCCTACTAATTTTAATAAATATGATGACTTTTTATATAATTATAGATTAGAGGAAAAAGTGACCATCCATTTGAAAAGTCCCAGCAAATCAAAACAGCAGCAGACTTAAAAGACCCAGATATTAATCTAACAGGTGTTGGCTCAAGTGGTAAGCAGCTTGATGTCCCTTAAACAAGGTCTCGGGTTCGAGTCCTTGTGGATGCAGAAAACACTTGTTGGGAGATTCACCCACCACTGCCAGGTGTGCGACCCGGATCGACCAACGGATTAGTCGGAACATAACTTCGAATACCGTGGCTGGCTACCAAAAAAAAAAAAAAAAAA